GGTTGGTGGCCAATGGCGATTGGTGGCCAAGCATCCTGTCCCTCCCCTGGAAATTTGAGTATTATTTGGAAGTTCAAGAGCTGGCAAATGATGCGCGATGATTGGATGATTGAAAAAGTACACGCTTGACCGACTGCTGTCGGCCATCAACGCCTCCACTCATCAGCTCGAGCGGTACAATCCTGCTGTCTGAATGCCTCAGGGCGCAATCTCCTACAAGGGGGCACTTTCTGTTGGTGTTGGGTTGTGATAACACGTTCCTCGAGGCATCAGAGCAAAATACCTGATCTACAACAGCACCGGCCTAGTTGATGAACTCGGCCCAGCTGGCGCTGGGATTCTGGAGGCAGGAAGTAACGACCTTCTGCCGCCAACTTACGATGAGTTTGATATGCCCCCTCGCTCTTGTACAAATTAGGAGGAAGCCAGCCGCTTCTTCCTTCCAGTGTTTCAAGAGAGACTGGCACATTGCATGGCAAGCTTCAATTCCCACCACAACTTGATCGGTAAAACTGCATGTCTAAGTTGTAGTCGAAGCGTGGGACTTCAAGGCACTGACGAGTCGCACGCGATATCGATGATTTTGAATACCTACTCAAAGGTTCTGATATTGTGTACCAAAGTAGCATTGCTGCTTGACCATTCGCCTGTTCTAATCCAGTGGTTTTTCTCTTCCCTACTCTAAATAACATCCATAAAGCGGCATGTACACTCTTAATTCTTTCTTTCGGGAACCTCAGAGGGTCGCCTCATGCTAATGGCTTGTCGAAAACTCTGTATTCGGCGGGCCCAGCTAGAAGGGGGGCTAAGGCGGGATAATCCTGGCTGAAGTCGCCGAGTTTTACAATCTCGTATCCGAGCCGCTTGTACCAAGCTTGCATTCTCTCCTTAAAGGCATTCGTGCAGTGTGTAGGTACAAGCAACTCGACCTGCATGACGGTGCACCCCTCGCTGCGGCAGTACTCCTCCGCGAAGCTGACGAGCAGACGGCCGAACCCAGACCCGTGGTGGGCCGGGTCAAGAGCGAGCATGCCGAACTCGCCTCGCTCGGGCGTGAGTTTCTTGATGAAGACACAGCCAATGGGCTCGTTGGAGGGACAGAGGTAGGCTACGGCAAGTTTTCGGCTCTGGATAAATGCCTTGATCTCTTGGTCGGTCGTGCGCTGGTACTCGGGCAAGAATATGCCCTTCTCGGCGTCGGAGAAGACGGCATTGACTATGGAAGTGAGTCGGGACACGAGGCTCTCGTCATCGGCCGTGGTCGGATCGGGGAAGATGATGGACACGGTCTCGGGGGTCGACGTGTCCACCTCGTCGGCAATGACTTGGGCAAGCCCGTTGACGGTCATGATTTTGGCTTTTCGGGGATCTAGAGTTTGGCACGCGGCCGACCGTAACCGTCGTGGGCAACCGTCGTGGGTAACATTGAAGCCAGCGAGGTAGGCTGAGGACAAGATGCGCACTGCAGTTTGTCGCACAAAGCAGAAGATCAAACTACCTTAGGTACCTACGGTCGGTGATCTGCGTCACGTGAGTGCACTTCTGGCTCGCTGGTTCATGTTGCACCGTGGATCACCGCAATTGCTTCACAGAGGGTAATAGAATAAACCTCATCCTCGACAGAAAATCGGTCTTTTCTGGGCTATGGTGATCTGACGCACTTATATCGAGCAATGCCAAGAGGATCAGCTGCATGGTGTGCTCAATTCAAATACCACCCGGCCATGGATGACCCTGGCCCCTGTCACCAGAGCGAGCGTCAATCAATCATGAATTGAGAATTCGGTTTTAAGAACACTCTCCCCAGGCTAGTTGAAGCTCGTGAAGTATGCATCACGAAGGTGTCCGTAAGAGTGATGTGCAGACAGAGCCAGCGACGGCTCTGACCGTGGTTTCCAGTGGCAAGTGACTATCCTTGCCTACGTAATTCCCCAAACAGAACTTGATGCCATTGTCTGGGAGTAGAAACGCTGGCTGATTCTAATACTCCCAACTGAGAGCGTAGAATATATGGCAGACCTCTTTTTGTAGTCGCCCATACACAAGAGCACAGCAAACAAAGCTCAACAGACAATAGCCCTTGGTTTTTTATTGTGATTGACGAGTCTAGGGTAGGCAGCAGTCGCACCGGGTTGGCCAATCAGAAGATGCGCTGCGTGTGTGCAGCCAAGCGGCATCTGATCACAACATCCAATTCGAGGGCGACTCGCCAGTCACTTCTCAGATCCTCCCCTTGCGGCGAGTCGGTGCCCAACAAGCTCGAGGCCTCTTTGTCGCAGGCCCAGAGCCTACATAGAAAGCGTTCCAGGCAGTTTGCCCGTGTTGCGGCAGTCGCTGTGCACAATAAAACCCCGCTTGCTTGCACCTGAGGTTCCTGCACACTCGCACTCCAAAAAGCCCAAGAGTCTGCTGCTGCTTCTTCCCTTTTCACCACCACATCGCATTTCCGCCCCTGCATTGCCTTAGAGGGCATATATTAGGCCCATCAGTGTGCTGCTTTACCCCAATCCTGTCGTTTCGCGCCTGGTAATTACAACAACCCACGGCCGCCATGGCCGAAAGCACTCCTCAGCCCATCGAGCAATCGCCAGCTCATGTTCGGCATCTGCAAAATGCTATCTTCTCGTCGGCAATCCTTCGGAGGAAAGGATACATCATCGATCCCCTCACTAAAGATGAGCTAGAGAGAAAGAAAAGATGCAGTCGCTGCTCAAAAGGTATGCCTCCCAAGCCCGCTGCTTCTTCCCCCCCTCCCTGCATGTGCATGTATGTGTGTGCCCATGTGTGCTGTCGCAAGAAAGGGTAGCCTAGAAAGCGCTCGTTTACTGACTGGTCGCATTTGTAGCTTTGTCGAAGAAGGATAAGGAGGAATTAGCTCCGACGAAGAAACACCTTAAGAAGGTCAAAGAGGTTGGAGACAAGAGTCGAGGAGCAGGCCATGCCGCCGGTCCAAGGGGCGAGACAGCTCTTGAAGGAAGCTTTTCACTTCTGGGCGTCAACACTGCAGAGGGTGAGGCGAATGGCGCCTCCCGGCCTCCCGTAGATGACAAGGAGGCCGAAAAGACAGGAAGGGAGCCACTCAAGCGATGCAGATACCATTCTGGAATGGTACAAGCCAAGGTAAGTGGCTATTCCGTGCAGAAACTTCTTGAGAGAGAGCAGATGCTGACTACTGAACGCACCTTGATCCTGCAGATGTGGACTTGTTGCAAGAAGCACGTCTCTGCGCCACCTTGCTGCCAGGATGTTAATCATCTCCCGATTCAATATGCACCAGGCGAGATTGAGGCCAACTGGCTCTTCCATCGCACGCCACAGTCAGGTGGCCGGAACCTTCAGCAGAGCTTTGCCATTGCTGTTGCGATTGATTGCGAGATGGGAGTAAATGATTCTGGCGAGTCCGAGCTTATCCGCGTCACTGTTGTCGATTACTTCTCGGGCGCTGTTCTCCTCGACAGCCTTGTCGCTCCCGATGTGAGAATGAAGCATTACAACACCCGGTTTTCTGGAATCTCGAGGCAGGACATTAACGAGGCCCGCCGCCGTCGCACCTGTATCTTCGGGAGGAGTAATGCGCGCAAGGCCATATGGAGATGCGTTGGGCCGAGAACCATCGTCATCGGACATGGCCTGAACTCTGACTTGCTGTCACTTCGCTGGATTCATCCTTTCATCGTCGACACAATGTTGATCGAGGAGGAGATTGTCCATGCCGCAAAGGCCGGTCTCCCTGAGGATCCAGATCAGGAGTTGAACGAGAAACAAAAGGGACTCCTTGAAATTTCAAAGACGCCGCTCTCATTGAAGTCCTTGACGTTATTGCGTCTTGATAGACACATTCAACTCAAGGGACAAGGGCATGACAGTGTCGAAGATGCATTGGCAACGAGGGATCTCCTCCACTGGCATCTGGTTCACAGAATAGCACCCGAGAGCTCGTCTTCTGCCCCTTCTACAGGTGGTCGGACTGTCTAGCACTCTTTGGAAACCGCAAGAGCCACTAGGTTGTAGAACTCGTTTCATAGGGAGGTACAACCGACACGTGGCTGTGACGTTGGAGAGCCTAAAGAAATGCAATGTGATTTAGAAGGCGTCATGCTTGCGATCATTTTGCAGACATACAGGCAAGGCAAGGGGGCAGAGAGGGAGAGGGAGATAAACACACACGATGGGCTTTCAAGGTAACATCGGAAATAGCTAGAAAAAGCTCAAAAAAGAGCAATGATATCATCCTGACGTACCTCTTTAGGGGCGCTCTTCGCCTGCTGCTTGCCTGCATGGTGGTGTTCCGATAGCTGCTGGACTACTAATCAGTATCCAAGGCGCGCATCATGCAAGGCGCCTGCGCTACAATCCGAAGAGGTGAATGATCTGCGGGATAAAAACAGCCAAGTGCCCAACATGTGTCGTCTCTGGGCATTTAGAGCATCATGTGTTACCGGGAAGTACCATCCTGAGCCCTTAACCGCCTTTCCTCCAGCCAATCGTTCCCTTGTAAGTTTTTGAATGACACAGTAGGTACACAAAGCAGCATCAGAGGAAATTTGAATCCTCCGACAAGATATGGAGCAGGCCAGGGTGATGGGTTGGATACCATGCCGGCAATAACAACCCAGAGGGGAGGTTACTCCATTTTAGAACACTTCGTTGAGATCTAAAACTAATATCCAGGATCATAAGCTCGAGGTCGCCGAATGCCGCGGACAACAGTTGGAAGGTCGAGCCCATACGGGGAGCGACCTGACGTTTCAATTATAGACAGCGAGATTCTTCTGCCACGGTCGTCTGTGTCACATACCATCATTTACCCTCGGCGTATTCGGTGGAGATCATGTGCTATGTCATTCACAAAATACATGGTGATATTCACAGTAGCAGGCATTGATGACTCAAGATGGGCGGTTTGGGGCATCAAGTGATGCAGGGTGAAGTCCTTGTTCTTATTAAACCGATCTACAAGAAAACGAAGCGTGCTCGCTTCCACTAGAGAGCTCTTCAATCTATATCTGGCGTTAATGATTGCATGTTTTAAGCAATGACGTCGCAAGGAAGGGGTACTCACGATATCCTTGATAGTCGAATAAGTTCCTCCTACAAGAGTAACTACACCAATGATGAAGACGACCAAGCAGCCGATACTCATGGCGAGGTTTTTCTTTGAATACCACTTCCCTTCACGAAGCATGACGAACCACATAACGGCAGGGATGTAGAAGGAGAAGCCGGAAACGAAGAGAGACGAGCAAATCGACAAGAGATCAGAAAAGATAGGGATTGCCTCAGCAATGACCCAAGCAAGAATAGTGAAAATAGTGACCAGCCCGATCCACGTGCTCCAGCCAAGAGGGGTATTGACGTAGCGGGCAACTGAATTCTTGAACATCCGGCCGTGAACATAACGGAGTGCAACTGTGGTGTTGATGGATCCGGAAATGAAGATGACTGGGAGAGCGACGCCGAAAGCAATCTTGGAGACCAGATTCCCAGCCGATAGGAGAGCTGGTGACTGGACATTTGGGCCGATGAAGGCGTAGCAAATAGCTCCGGTCAGCGTGTAGATGACAATCTGGATGCTCACACTAGCCCAGATGGACTTCATGTAGTCTCGGGGAGTGTGCATCTCATCCATGAAGGAGAACTGGCCGATGGCGAAGCTGTATGCCAGGACAATGTTGCTGACAGATACAAAGGCCTTGGAGAAGCTTAGATCCTCCTTTGGCCACACTGACCATTCGATGCTGGAGAGACCCCCGGGAGATTTCGTGCCCTGTATTCCTGTTGCGATGATAGTAATGCCAATCGCCGCTACGATTGAGACGAAGTCGACATATCCAAGAATTGCCACTTCGGAAAATGAGGGCGGGATGGCAAGGATGAGCAAAATCACGGCGGAAACAGCAGAGAAGGCGATGGAGCAGACCTTGCCGCCATTGATGGTGACGAGGGCGATACTACCAGTAAGAGCATGAGATCCAACAACAAAAAGAAGCTCAAGCACGAAGGCGGCACCGAAGAGTTCGTATCCAAAACGACCGAGTAACATGCGGCCAGCATCGGCATAATGAAGGATCTCGGGATGCTTGAGCTTTACCTGGCCGATGATGTAACTCGTAAAGATGGTAGCAACACCAAGGAGAACAGACAGAAGAACGCCGAGGAACATCCCCAGAGTGTGGAAAGCTGCAGGAAGGCTCAGGGCGCCTAGGGCTACAGCCTCAACGATGGTGACGATTGTGAGACGCTTCCAGCCCAAACGATGGAAATGGGCATTGCCATCGGCAGCAATCTTCTTCAGCTGATCCACCTGTCCCTCATTGGCAACCTCCATAATATCCATTCCATCTTCGGGAGAGGTGTAAGGGGTATCCTTCTTATCCTTCTTCGAACCCAAGAAGGCCGGCACAGTTGCAATATCGTCGGCCATGGCGAAGCGGTGGCGAATCGAGGTCTCTATAGAGAGCAGACAAGGTCACAGAATTGAGGGAACCCGGCAGTTAGAAATATCCTTTTCTTAAAGAAAAACCCATCTAAAAGATGTCATGAGCGGCCCACATGGTGGCCACGAAGAAAGCATCTGACCCCATACCAAAGGCACGAATCCCACCGAGATGTCACCGCGTTGTTTTATGCTTCAGCGCGACGGGGCGGGCGATCGTTTTGCAAGAGCCTACACATACGGCAGCCGTCAAATCGCGAGATGCATCTCGGCATATTGATGCGAGGGCATTGTCCGGCCTCAGAGATAATCGAACGATAGTGGCAGACGGGTGGATAACCACGGAGCTCCCGTGACTCCAAAGGAAAACCTCAGATCCATCCCTCACAGATACACAGACAGGCAGTCAGATGGCGATGAGGTAAAAAGTTTTCCGCTGTTGCGCCGGGCCCCTGGATCACGACTCAAGCCTCCCCCGTCGAAAACGCGACTCTGGAGGAAACAGTTACGTTCATAAAACTCCGTCATTGGTGATGGACCCTGAACTTTTGCCAGCAGTTGAAAAGAATGATTTTCCAAGTGGACCCAAGCCGCCCAAACGAGTTCTAGAAGACCCAGAAGAAACACCAGCATGGCCCACTCGGGGCGTTTGGCAGCGGCAACTCGGCATTGTATGACACATAGTCGAACCGGAAGAGACTTTTCTCTCCTACTCTGACCAGATCGGTCCCGAGACAAGCCGCTGAGTTGCTGACCACAAGTGCGAGTCTTGATGTGAGGCAGATTCTGCAATACCATACAAGAGGCCGATATCGTTCAGTATCCATCACGTTATCTCGCTGATCTTGCTTCGATGGTTCGATCGCTCTTCGATGGTGCTCGCAGGCCCCATATTTGGATTCTGTCCTTTTGGAAAGAGCTGTCGCTTGGGATCTGCCGTCGGTCGATGGTTGTGCCAATGGGATGACTGCTGTCGAGGATATCGAGAATCTTCGGCAAGAACAAAAGCTAGGAAGTCTGGACTGAGCGCACATGCTCTCGTTTGTTCATTCTTTGCGCTTCATGTTTATGTGATAACTGCCAACTTGCGTTAGTCGTAGTTGTACCTGAGGGCGAATGGAAGCCTACCGCTAGCCAACAGTATCGGAGGGTCTGCAATGAATGAATAGTTTTGTCCGATCTCAACAAGTGCCCATAGTTTTCAACTCTGCAAAGAGTATGGTCCATGCGGATGCATGTTGCCAGAGGTTGCTAGGTGCTGGGGCGTTGCCAGAACCCAAAAGCAGCTTGCGTGAGAGGAGAAAAGAACCAGTAATCAATAGGAGCCTTCCCATTGGTTACTTTTTGATTCGTATGTATGCTTATGTCACCTTTCGGAGACATCTGATGCGATGGCTAAAGTCGATAAAAACACTTATACTATCATTGGCTTCTCTCTACTCATCATCTTGTGTTGAAGAAGATACAGGAATCGGAAAGCATTCTAATATTACTGGCGCTTATATCTCAATCTCTGCGGCAACAGTGGCACCGATAGGTCAAGGTAGCTTCTCTCCTAGTTGTAGTCTTAGTATCAAACCTCAATCTTCGCGGTGGAGACAGCCAAGAATGTATTCTTAGGAGGGAAGCTATTTCCGCATGACATCTGGAAGAAAATGGAACGTTTCGTTGTATATTTAGCAATTCCTAGCCCTCGGCATACTTGAATGGGCAAAATAGATTTCCAGAGCTGCTGAATGGTGTGCCAACCACAAGTGATGTCTTCCACTACACGTCTGTTATGATATCTGCAACTTGTATCAACTCGCAAGCCTAATGATTACGGGCGAGGTAAAAGAAGAATAGGTAAGTCGCGGTCTTGTGTCAACTCACGCCCCTTTTACTTCAAAAGGGGGCAAAATAGCAGTCACTTGTTTTGGATCATAGCTTCACCTACATCGTCAGAGTCTACCTACAGCATGTTACCATTTTCCCGCTCCTAGTGTTCTTTGTATCCTCATCTTCACATAAGGTTTAGGCCTGGTTAGCAAAAGGACGCGCCGCCTTGGATGTCCGCCGCGTTCTTCCAAAGTGCCATCCCAATAAGTAGTTGTAATCTATTGCGTTCGAGCTCAATCGTCAGCCGTAACTGTCGAGACAAAGATTTGTTGTAGTGAAATTTGCTTTCGGGTGGTAGGGTAAGGGCGAGAGAACCGTGGTTGTGGGATGGAGAAAGAAGGCACCCCAGACACCGAACGAATACGTGTTACCACGTTAGCCAGACGCGAATTGTGGCCAATCACTTTCTCTCTTCGCGACACTATTACGGCTTATTTTCCATATCGACGAAGTTGGGGGCTCGGTAGCGAAGAGGTCTCTAAGAACACCACAGCATACGATCAGAGAAGAGGGCGTGATTATCCACGTGTTCGGCAAGTCGCAGCCAAGCTGGTGGGAAAGGAAGAATTTGCAGAGCAAGTCTCACGTATCGAATGTAGGGACCGGGGCAATGGCCCACGGGTAGAGCAGGTTATCAAGACATGTCGTTGCGCGTTTGACGTTATCGTCGGAGGAGAGTCGAAGGGGTTTTTCGGGGATAGTCGAGACGGTTCAGGAGGCAACGCGAGTACTTGCGAACTGTTCACGTTCAGAGTCAGAAAGGAGGTATTCATTAGAGCTTGTTCCATAATTCTGGCTAAGGATCAAGCCAATCATGACGTGATCATGATGCCTTGGAGAGCTCGGAAGCGAAGGGACTGGCCAGCGACCGGAGGGGGTCGAGCAACCTCGCCGAATACATGTAGTCTCGTGCAAGGCATGCAGGGGATGTAGCATTTTTGTACCACGAGATGGATTTCGGTCATGTTCCTTAAACTGTAGCGCAGAATTTGGTCGGGTCGATCGAGAGGCATTCGCTGTTATCGGTGGTTTTCGACAAACGTAGGTCTGGTGAGGGGAACGGCTGCCCAATGGCCGTTAGAGAGACAGTGGTAAGAGGGATCTGCTGGAGCTTTCACGGTGAGGCGGGAAGGTAGTGGTTGGTATTGATTGGCGGAAAGGGAGAATATTATGCACAGCCAGGTATCTGTGTGCGGCTCTGGGTAGTAGTGCATCCTGCTTGTCAAAAGGGGGTTGTTCTGGAGGGGGTGGAGTTCAAGTCCGACCAGAATATCTTGAACCTTAGCCCTAAAACCGCTCGTTGTACAGGGACTCAGCATACGTAAGACAGATAGATATGGGAGCAAAAGTCGCTGATAGTCTTCTTCCCAGCCTGTATTCTTTTGGGGTTGGATCGTCCAGATGCTGAGACAGAGACAGGGCTAAGATGCCAGAACATAGCAGGACGAAGAATGGCCAATTAATCACATATCATCGATAGTCTGGCGAGACCGAATAGCGAAGTGCCGCCTATTGCATGACTTGCCAAGTGCGGATTGCTAGGGGGACGAGGTAGCTGTGATCCGCCGCTCCGACCGCAGGACGAGCACCCGGGTGGACAGCAACGCGCCGAAACATCTGCAAGACGGCAATCATTTGCCAGTTCAACGACTTTCTGGTCAAGGCATTTTGTTTTTGTAAATCTCAGCTAAAAAATAAGGCCCATGTCTTGCCTGGCTAGCTGTCATCCCGTAGCGGGTGCACAACCAGAGGATGGCTTGCATTACAGTCTTGGACATCCCTGACGGAATGTGCTCACATAGGTACCCCTCAAGCCCAGATATGTAATTGTATACACTGGTCACATCTGACTTGCATCAACCCCACTTCCCAATTTCCTAATTCCCAAATGGTTGCTATCCTTGGTCCGAGAATCATTCTGACGTGCGTTTCCCACCGTGGGCGTCACAGGCCTTCCTCCTCCATACACACATCACTTTGTGTGAGTGAGGCTGTTTCACTATCGAAAATTACTGGCCACTACAGCTGGAATTTTCATTCAAATCTACACTATCAAGCAGAGTCTCTTCGTGCCAGAGACATGGCGCCAAGGAAACCCCGGCCCCTCAAGCCCAAACCCACTGATAAAGAACCCATAAAGGTGTCACTGAAAGAGTTGACTAAGAGGAATGCCGTCAAAAATGCTTGTGAGCGTGCGTTCTTCTTTCTTTCCTCCCTCCCTCCTGGTTTTTTCTTTTTTCTTTCCTTTGTCTGTCAGATTGCGGGTATATGGAGCCGAGATCTGTATTGTTCTCTGACTAGATCTACAGGATGCCGCCAACTCAAGCTCAAGGTGAGTAAAGCGATTGGGTGTGCTCACATAAGGAGACCTCAAACAACAACGCACTCCCAAACCTGTCAAATTGATCACGATAATGTTAAGCTCTTCTACTTTCTCTTTATGTAGTGCGCGAGTCCACCATGCTCAGCTTGTGTCCGCGTCAATCACTCTTGTCGCGTTCGAGAACGACCGAAGCAAGCCAAAGAGCTTGGTGTCGCCATCAACATCGTGGGATGCGGATACGATGGTCCGGAACCCCCGAGCTGCGGACTAGAGTGGCAAGGCGAGGTAATTTCTAACTTCTCGAATGGCTTTGTTGAACAAGGCTGGAGCGCTTACCCAGCGACGACGCCTTCCCACTCGAGCTCACCGCAGCCCGCATCCAACACGAGCATCGCCAACCAGAATGTATTTATCACGCTTCCCGTCTGGAAATTGACAACCCCTAACGACGGCAACGCGCTTATGACCTACATATTGAACAACTTGTGGACAAATAGCCTCTGTATCGAGGATCCGATCCTTTCTAGAGCTTTCGGAAGTCAAGGAATGGAAAGCTTCTCTGCAGTACCAAGTCATCCACTTCTGACTTTGCCTACAGTATGTGCTGCCTATTTCATCCCTCTGACTCTTGGCTGTGCTGTACGTTTCTGACCTGGCGAGATGAAGGATTATCAGGTTAGAGTTTTGACTGAAGCCCAGCTTGCCGATCTTGACCGCTGGTATGCCGATTACTCGCAGTTCTATCGATCGGTTAGCAATTTAACGCCCTCCTGGTACGTTTTCGAAA